AAACATACATTTTTTTCATTATTTTTTTTCAAAAAGGGCAATTCATAATTCTAATACATAAAAATACATAGAAATGTGCAAAATGCAGCAGTACAAAAAGTTTTGGAGATGATCAGAGTGTTGTGAAAAACTCTGCAGGGCAGTGTTTATGTGACAATAATTCACTATAAATTAAAATGACAGTTTTACAAAAAAATGGACAAATTACGCAACACTGAAAATGCCATTTTGGCAAGATTTGCAGGTCATATTCCTGGTACTGTGTGGATTACTTGAGTTTTGTTTGCATTGACAGAAAAGCTGGTAGTTGCACTTCTTCTTCTACATCTAAATAACAGTACAGCAAGACCAATGATTCGATAACCCACCATTAAGCTGATCAATCCCACAACATCAACTATTATTTGATTCTGTAAAAGAAATACAGTAATAATGAAAGAAAGTGTACAACGAAATCCTGCATGTGGGAGTATTGGAGACATATTAAAAATTAATGCAAAATTAGCCTTTTAAACAAGAAGCTTGGAAACCAATTTTTGTCTGGTATTTGAGATGCACAACATGAAGCTATAATTACCAGTAAATATAGAAAATAAATTTTGTTATATTGCATCTGTAGTTTTCAGTCTAATTTATTCCAGAGCACCTCAATTTAAATTTAAATCTCCAGTTCAATTTAAATCTAATATTGAATATACATTGTCAACAGTTTTATTACTTTTGTCACAATTTTTCTTTGAAATGTTCCTGACTGAGTCTATGAGTATATTGTGTCATGCATGTGTATGCACACTGATCCTTTAATTAAGAACCATTTGTTCATACCTAAAGATAATTTAAAAGTAATGGTTGTTTTCAATGCTGCTGCTATTAAATATAACTGTACAAGTTTCTAATAATAAAACAACAGCAACTCTCATAGCAGATTGTGAGCTAGTGTGAGTGATATTCAGCTGCTGATTGGCAATAAATGTAAACAAAAAACATTACAGTGTGACAGACTACACTAGGTACAAATTGTAGAGGATTGGGTAGATGTTGAACACTCACTTGGTCATGTGGAATCCATATGGTGTAGCATTACATAATATAAATACTTGTTGATCACTCACCTGGTCATGTGGGAATCCATATGGTGTAGCATTACATAATATAAATACTTGTTGATCACTCACCTGGTCATGTGGGAATCCATGTGGTAC